AGATCAGTCCTAGTTCAGCCCCACCAGAGTAGCTGGGGGGGAGCGGAGGACTCCTTCACCATTGCCTGCTGGATGCGTGCGGCACTAGCAAGCTGATCTGTGCCCTCCCAGCGAGGGAGCCCAGAGCGGGGAACTCCCCCACCTCTGCCCGTGGGACGCATATGACTCTAGCAAACAGTTTTGGGCCCGCCCAGAGTGGTAGACCCCTCTACCGCCACCTGCAGGATGAGTGTGGCTCTAGCAAGCAGTTCTAGGCCCACCCAGCTTGGGAGCCTGGAGTGGGGAACTCCTCCCCTGGCCCCCATGGGGTGTGTGTGTCTCTAGCAAGCTATTTTGGGTCTACCTGGAACAGAGTACTCCTCTGCCACTGCCTGTGGCACACCTGTGGCACTAGCAAGCAGTTCTGGGCCTGCCCAGAGCAGGAGCCTGGGGCAGGGATCTCCTCTGCCGCCCGTGAGGCATGCAACTATAGCAGGCAGTTTTGGGCCCGCCCCACTCTGTGAGGGCAAAGGGACCCACCCGGCAAATGGGTTAGTCTGGGAAAGTTAATACCTCCTTCCCCACCTTGCACCCAGTCACTCGTAATCCCCTAGGTTTGTTACCCTATTCACTCCAGTAGGTCACTGCTCCTGGGGTTTACAACTGGCAAAATCAGCCAGAAATCTGAGTTCGGCAGTGGGGCCTTGCGTGCTTAAATTAGGCTTCTGATTGGCTAGATTTCTCTGCAAGTCCAAGTTTGGATTCAGCTCTGGGCAGCAGACAGTTAGAAGTTTTTTACACTCAGCTGTCAATTCTAGCCTCTGCCGGCCCACTGCCTTTGTCTCAGCTGTATTAGCCCCAGAGGGCTGGTGCTTTACTTAAAAAGTTATCTGTGTTTTGCCTGTGTGGCTGCTGTCCGGAACCTCTGTTTGCCCAGAGAGACAGGGCTGGAATGGCGTCAGTTTGCAGCTCAGGATGCCACTGTTGCTGTATTGGCGTCCCCTAAGCCGATCTTCTTCTCCTCACGCCTGTGCCACAGGCAGGACAGAACAGCACCAGCCCTTTCCCCCTCCACTTCTCCCAAGGAGATGCCCAAGAATCTGGACTCCACATCTCCAAACCTTGGAGTGAGTGGGTGGGGACTCCTTGGAGTTTAATGTTGCAGGTGGGGAATATATACAGTTTTATATAGTTCAAACCTTCCCTCAACCATACACTTGGGGTGCCCCTTTGAATAGTCCTTGGGTAGTCTGCCAGGTTTAAGGGATCCAAATCAGTTGTCCCCATCAGCAGCCGTTTCAGGTGGAAGAGTTGAAATGTCTCTGGGAGCTAGATAAGAGGGGTCTGCTTGCAGCTCAGATATAACTTGCTCCAGTGCTCCATGAGGGCAAAGGGACCCACCCGGCAAATGGGTTAGTCTGGGAAAGTTAATACCTCCTTCCCCACCTTGCATCCAGTCACTCGTAATCCCCTAGGTCTGTGACCCTATTCACTCCAGTAGGCCACTGCTCCCGGGGTTTATGACTGGCAAAATCAGCCAGAAATCTGAGTTCGGCAGGGGGGCCTTGCATGTTTAAATTAGGCTTCTGTCCAGCTAGATTTCTCTGCAAATCAGAGGTTGCATTCAGCTCTGGGTAGCAGACAGATAGCAGTTTACACTCAGGTGTCAATTCTAGCCTCTGCCCACTCACTGCCTTTGTCTCAGGAGTATTAGACCCTGAGGGCTGGTGCTTCACCCACGAAAGTTTCTGCATTTTGCCTGTGGCTGCTGTCCAGAACCTCTGTCTGCCCAGAGAGATGGGGCTGGAATGGCGTCAGCCTGCAGCTCAGGATGCCACCGTTGCTGTATTAGAGTCCCCTGAGCCAACTCTCCTCTCCTCATGCCTGTACCAAAGTCAGCACAGAACAGCACCAGCCCTTTCCCCCTCCACTTCTCTCAAGGAGATGCCCAAGAATCTGGATTCCATAGGTAACAAACCTCCAGACCTCGGAGTGGGTGGGTGGGGACTCCTCAGAGTTCAATGTTGCAGTTAGGGAATATATACAGTTTTATACAGTTTTACAGTTTTATGCCTGGCTGTAGGGTGCCGTGGCACGCCAGCAGGGGTAGGAGGTCCAGTTTTTAGGGGGTCTCTCCCGTGGGATAGAGTGGGAGGAAGTTTGAACTCTGCGCACTTGTTTGCATGGAGTAAACTGCAAGCCCTTGTTGTGGGGGAGGGGACTCCCATCCATTTGGTGGTGGATTTTGTACCTTTTGGTTGTATTTTTGGGGTCACAGCTTGCTTCAGGAAGGTTGAAGTGCACTCTTCAATCTTCTCTCTTGGCTCTGCTCCAAATCATCAGCCAACTTGCTAAACTTCTGTCCCTCAAGCCTCCTTCTCGACGGGAGCTTCTGCAAAAAGCTGGCTGCAGTCTGCCATCTTGGCTCCGCCCCCCCTTAATTATTTCTTGATTCTTCTTCTAGAACTCTGTGTATTTTCTAGCTTGTATTCTATCTCTTTATATTTGTGTCTACTTTTTGGGAGGTCCAAACTAACTCTAATTTCTAACATTTCTATTGAGTATATCATTTTTCATATCATGTTTTTAATTTCTAAATGCTTTTTAAAAGTCTCTTCATTATTTATAGTACTCTATTCTTGTTTCCTGGATATAATATCTTCTTTTGTCTCTCTGAGACTATTAGGATAGTTTGTTGGTAGTTTTTTGGTTTTTTTGCAGTTTTTGGCTGGGGCTGGGTTTGAACCCACCACTTTCAGCATATGGGGCCAGCGCCCTACCCCTTTGAGCCACAGGCACCACCGGAAGTTTTTTCTTTTCTACAAGTTGTTGTTTCCCATTCATTTGTTTGGCTTATTTCCTTTTTGTTTTAGAGTTCCCTAGCTCCCCCAAATCTGGGGATCCTTGCTATCTATGTATGATTAGAGTACTGAGAGACTGATTGGAAGCTCTGAATTTGTGGATGGGGCTTATTAATTTTGGGCTTCTCTATAGGCTAATCTGGAGAAACCACTTATCAGATCATTCCTGAAGTCAGTCTATTAGGATCTTTCTTGTTGAGATTATCAGATTTCACAGAGAGAATTTTTGGTATTCCCTTTGGAGGGAAGAAGTCTGGCTGCCACCTTTCTGAGAGGTGATTTAAAAAAGAGGGCTTTCTGTAATCTGGGCTGATCTGATCACACAATCTCTGCTTTTTGGCAAAATACAAATACTTTCAGTGGTGTTGGATGAACCTTTATTTTATCTTCTTTAGAGACAAAATCTCCATTCTTCCTTATTTTAGGTCCTTCTTTATAACCCCCCTTTTGAAACCCCTTGATTCCAAGAGTTGATTCTCAGCTTTCCTCCTTGCTGGTTTCAGATCTGGCTTTCTTGGGTCTGCTTAGTAACTTTCTTTTTTTTTTTTTTTTGAGACAGAGCCTCAAGCTATCCCCCTGGGTAGAGTGCCGTGGCATTACAGCTCATAGCAACCTCCAACTCCTGGGCTCAAGCGAGTCTCCTGCCTTCGCCTCCCAAGTAGCTGGGACCACAGGTGCCCGCCACAACGCCCAGCTATTTTTTGGTTGCAGCCATGGTTGTTTGGCGGGTCCGGGCTGGGGATTCGAACCCGCCACCTTAGGTGTACGTGGCTGGCGCCTTAGCCAGTAGTAACTTTCCATTGTCCATTGCTTTCCAGCTCCCCAAACACAGGAACCCCATTTGTCACCAGAGACAATCTTTTATCTGTTTCAATTGGTGTCAATTCTCATTTTGGCCTAGGGTTCCGTCCATTCTGAGCAATGCTTTTTCACTGCAGTAGAACTAGAAAACAGACTCTAGTTGATGAACCAATTTATTAATATCAGTTTTCAACACACTATCATTAGCACAGAGGTGGTTTTTTGCTGGGTTCTTTCACACAGGTGGGAGGCAAGGTGGTCGGTATGGTCTACTGTGTGAATGCAGCCATGGGGGCTTTCTTGAGGAGGCCACGATGAATAAGGGGCCATTGAGCAGACTCTGTCATAGGATCGTTCAGATGTCCTCTCCCCGTCCTATTTGGACACCATTCACTGGACTGAGGAGCTGAGGGACATTTTTTCTGGCTCTGCTCTTTTTGAGGGCATGACCAGCAGACACTACCTGTGGTTTTTCAGGAGAGCATGGCCTGCTCCTCTTCATCCGTCTGGGACTCCTAGGTTATCTGTTGTCCAGTGAGGTTCTTATTCCTGGGGATAGGGCAGGAAGGTTGTTGGGGCTAAAGTAGTATTTATTAGCCTTTACAAAAATTATTGCCTTTTTAAGACATGCTTTTCTAATTGCCTCCCTAAAATATTAGTGCTGTAAGTATACTATACTTTTATATTTAAATCTGTGTTTTATACATAAAGAAGATAAGATTTTGCACCTACCCTGAACCAGTTTTTGCTCCTTGGGTTAACAAGTGCTCCTCCAAGGAACTCCTGCTACCTAAGCTAAAGGACGGAGGAACAGCCCAGCCCTAGCTTCTGTCATGGCCGGACTCTGGGCCTCCAAGGAGAGGCCCAAGAAGCTGGGGGCCTTTTGTTTGTGGGGGCACCAGGTGGTACCTGTAGACACAGCTTCCTGTCCCTCCACCCTCAGCTTTATACAGTCGTTGTTCATGCTGGCCACCGTAGTGCTGTACTTCAGCCACCGAAAGGAGTATGTGGCTTCCATGGTGTTCTCCCTGGCCATGGGCTGGACCAACATGCTCTACTACACACGTGGCTTCCAGCAGATGGGCATCTATGCTGTCATGATCGAGAAGGTGGGTGCCCTATGTCCCTGGGGGAGCCCCTCACAACCCCACTTACCTCATGGGTGTGTGAGACACTATACCACAGACTCTGTCCTTCCTCTCTGTATTGTCCAGGGAGACATTGGCTTAGCTCTCAGCCCATTCCCCAAGACAGACCTAGGCGGTCTGGCTTTGATCTGAGTGTGTGTGTGGGTCTCCTGAGACTGATTCCTCTGCGTACCAGAGTACCTCTCTGCTGGCCAGAACAAAGGCTAGGGGGGAGGTGTGGATGACACCCTCATGACACCTGAGCTGAAAACCAGCAAACCAGCAAACCTGCATGTTCTCCTGATTAACCCCCAGGCTGCTTTAGTCCTGGCCCTTGGTGCCTCCCTGGGTCTGGACTTGACTCTGATAAGCCTGCTCTCCCCTGCAGATGATCCTGAGAGACCTGTGTCGTTTCATGTTTGTCTACATCGTTTTCCTGTTTGGGTTTTCCACAGGTAATGGGCTCAGTCAGGGCTCCTAGGAGGGCAGGGCTTCTGCTCACCTCAACTTCCTGAGGACTCTGCTGGGGGCTGGGTGAGGAAGAGCCAGGTGGGCTAGGCAAGTGCATGTCTATAGGTGACAGAGTGAGTGGACAAATGACACGCCAACATGAGCCCAAGAACTTGAAAATCTGATTCATAAATTGTTTTAAATAATATATATTTTTTGAGGCAGTCTCATTCTGTGCCTTGGTAGAGTGCTATGGCATCATAGTTCACAGCAACCTCAAAGTCCTGGGCTCAAGTGATTCTCTTCCTGAGTAGCTGGGACTACAGGCACCTGCCACCGTACCTGGCTAGTTTTTGTTTTCTATTTTTAGTAGAGACAGGGTCTTGCTTTTGCTCAGGCTGATCTCGAACTCCTGAGCTTAGGCAATCCACCCGCCTTGGCCTCCTAGAGCACTAGGATTACAGGCGTAAGCCACTGCACCCGGCTTGTTTTAAGTAATTTTTCAGGTAGGAAGTGCTGTTTGCCTGAAGTATAGCTGCATTGTGGCTCAGGTTTTTAAAAACTTTTTATTTCTACCTTAGCTCAGGCTCCTGGGAAAGTTGTCAGAATAGTGCAAATAACTTCTCTATACTCTTACCCAGATTCTCCAAATTTTACCACATTTTTTATCACTTTCCTCCTATACATGTGCACACACACAGACACACATGTACCCCATACTTTAAAAAGACTGAGAGTGAATTGCAAACATGAAACAGTAAATACTTCAGAATGTGTCTCCTAAAGGAAAGAATATTCTCTTATGTAAAAAGTACGGTCATCAAAATCATGAAAGTAACATTGATACTACCATAGACATGCTATCAGTTAATCTATAGCCCTTGTTTGAATTTCAACAATTGTCCTAATAATGTCTTTTGTAGAAAATGAAAATCCTGGATCATGCATTACATTCTGTTGTCATGTCTCTCTCTCTCTCTTTTTTTTTTGAGACAGAGTCTCACTTTGTCACCCTGGGTAGAGTGCTGTGGTGTCACAGCTCACAGCAACCTCAAACTCTTTGGGTTCAAGCGATTCTCTTGCCTCAGCTTCCCAAGTAGCTGGGACTACAGGGGCCCACGGCAACCCCTGGTTATTTTTTTGTTGCAGTTGTTATTGTCATTTAGCAGGCCTGGGCTGGGTTCGAACCCACCTGCCTTGGTGTATGTGGCTGTGCCGTAACACCTGAGCTACAGGCACCGAGCCTATTGTCACGTCTCTTTAGTATCCTTTAATCTAGACTAGTTCCCCAATTTTTCCTTGTCTTTTGTAACCTTAGCATTTTTAGCGAGTAAAAGCCAGTTGTTTTATACAATGTTTTTCAATCTGGAGATGCCTGATGTATCCTCATGATCATATTCAGGCATGCATTTTTAGCTAGAACATGAAGGAAATAATGTGTGCCTTCTTCAGTGTATTTATTAAGAGTCACATGATGTTTGTCTCATTTCTGGCAATGTTAATTTTGATTACTTGGTTTTGATGGATCTGCTAGATTTTTCTATTGTAAAGTCACCGTTTTTCTCTTTGGAATTGGTAATTGGTGAGGAGACGCTTTGAGACTATGTGAATATCCTGTTTCTCATCAGACTTTTGCCCTATAGCTATAGGATCCTTTGATGAGTTTTACAGAGTCACTTAATCCTATCATGGTGGCCAAATGATGATGTCATGACCCCATCGCTCCTCCCATGTTTGCTGGCTGGCATTCTATAACAAGGAAGAGCTTTCTATTCCCCTGTATTTATGTATTTGTATCGGCCTCATGGATTCTTTTTTTCAGTTTGTTAAATGGGTTATAATCCTTACTAACATCATTTATTTGGACACTCAAATCGTCTGAAATTTAGTCATTGGGAGCCCTTTCAAGCTGGCTTCTGTGCTGTTTGGACATATCCACAGCATTTTTTGAGCACATGGCTCCACTTTGATCCTCATCCAAGTCCTGCAGTTACATGGTTCACATGGAGCACCCGCCCCGTCCCAACTGTGCAGTTTGTTTTGGAATCTCTATCTTGGAGGGATGGGCATCTGTGACTGGGAGGGATCTGATAGGTATGGGCTCTGGCATAGTGAAGGTCCTGCATATTGGTAGCCTCAGAAGGGACTTGGCCAAATGGTTTATGGATACTGATATTACCACAGTGAACAACTACTACAGACGATCTCAGGCTCCAGACTATACTTCCTCCAAAAAAGTACAGAATATGAGACAAGGCCATTCTGCTTTGAGATGTTCATCTTCCATGGTTCTAGAATAAACTAACGGACACAATCAGACAGGGGGTGACTGACAAAGTGGACATGGAGCCAAGGCTGATGTGAAGGTTAAGCAGATTGTGCGCTGCACAAATATAGGCAAAGGTGGCTATAGTCACATTGTTCATATAGATTGGTATATTTATTTACTTTTTTTAGAGACAGAGTCTCACTTTATCATCCTTGGTAGAGTGCTGTGGTGTTACAGCTCACAGCAACCTCCAACTCCTGGGCTTAGGCAATTCTCTTACCTCAGCCTCCCGAGTAGCTAGGACTACAGGTGCCTCTCACAATGCCCGGCTATTTTTTGTTGCAGTTAGGTTGGGGCCGGGTTCAAACCTGTCACCCTCGGTATATGGGGCTGGCTCCCTACCCATTGAGCCATAGGGGCCGTCTGTATATTTATTTTTAACATTTTTAAATAGCAGATGATGATAAAGTTCTTATAAGAAAACATTGTAGGCTCCGCTAAGGCAAGCTGCTGCAGGTGGGGTACACACCTGATGGCAAGGACGACTACAGGTGGTGTTTCAGGTAACACCCAAGCAGGAATCAAGGCTTAGAGTATTCTGAGGCTCTGGGCATGGGGGCCCACCCAGAGCCAGCTGTGGATGCAGAGGCTGCCTCAGGGCCTCCTGGGGCCAGTCCTGAGCACAGGACACTCTCCCAAGGCCAGCTACAGGTGTAAGAGCTGCCTCAGGGCTCAGCTGTGGGCACAGGGGACCTACATTAGATCTCAGCTGATAGGACCCAGACATGAAATACTGGAAAATTTGGGGTGTCCAAAAGGGGTCACCTAGTGAGTGGGGTCAGAACCAGGACATGATGTCAAGCCACTCTGGTGGCTCATGCCTGTAATCCTAGCACTCTGGGAGGATGAGGCAGGTGGATTGCCTGAGCTCACAGGTTCAAGGCCAGCCTGAGCCGGAGTGAGACCTTATCTCTAGAAATAGTTGGGCATTGTGGTAGGCGCCTATAGTCCCAGCTACTTGGGAGGGTGAGATAAGAGAATCACTTGAGCCCAAGAGTTTGAGGTTGCTGTGAGCTGTGAAGCCAAGGCATTCTACCAGGGGCAACAAAGTGAGACTCTCTCAAAAAAGAAAAAAAAAAGAAAGAAAACATTGCAGTATGACAATTTTTGATAGTTTTGAAGAAGGGGTGCTTTAAAAAGTCCCCATAAAAGCACCACTTAACTGAGCAGTGTTCCAACTATAGATCCATCCTGGGGTAGCAGGGGTATCTGACAGGGGACCTGGGGTCTTGGCTTCCATCCAGCTGCACTCTTCTCTCCCTGTGCTCCATAGCGGTGGTGACACTGATCGAGGAAGGGAAGAACAACTCCACATCGACTAACTCCACAACGCACAAGTGGCGGGGGCCTGGCTGCAGGCAAGTTGATAGCTCCTACAACAGCTTGTACTCCACGTGTCTGGAGCTGTTCAAGTTCACCATCGGCATGGGTGACCTGGAGTTCACTGAGAACTATGACTTCAAGGCTGTCTTCATTATCCTGTTACTGGCCTATGTGATTCTCACCTACATCCTCCTGCTCAATATGCTCATTGCCCTCATGGGTGAGACTGTCAACAAGATCGCGCAGGAGAGCAAGAACATCTGGAAGCTGCAGGTGGGCCAGTTGTTGGGGTGAGCAGCCAGGAGGGTGTTAGCTGCTCTGCACAGGTGGGCACAGGAACTCCTGCAGGATTTGAAGACAGGGCAGAAAGCCCAGCCATGCCTGGGAATCAGTCAAGCAGCAGCACCTCTCTCAGTGGACAGACTCCCAGCATGTCCCCTGCTACATCCTGTGCTCAGTGTCAGATGAGCCCGGCTGGCATTCATAGACACCACATTTGGCTGGGGGCTGAGGAGGGGTGGTGTGGTGTCTTGGAGGAAAGGAGATGGAAGGCTCAGGGGAGTTTGGTCTAGAGTGGGCACTGCAGACCAGACTCAGGGGAGCAGATAATACAAGGCAGCTACCTTTCTGAGCCACATGGGCCATATCTATCTCTCCAACTAATAATAATAAAAGTATCATTCTTTTTGTTTTTGAGACAGAGTCTCACTTTGTCACCCTTAGGAGAGACCTGTGGCGTCACAGCTCACAGCAACCTCAAACTCTTGGGCTCAAGTTATTCTCTTGCCTCAGCCTCCCAAGTAGCTGAGACTACAGGCACCTGCCACAACATCTGACTATTTTTTTTTTCTTTTTTTGCTGGAGTTGTCATTGTTGTTTGGCAGGCCCATGTTTGAACCCTCCAGCTTCAGTGTATGTGGCTGGTGCCGTAGCCCCTGAGCTACAGGCGCAGAACCAAAAGTATCACTTTAGGATAATAGCACTTTAGGATAGGTACTATTCTACTGTCTTGCCCGATCTCACTTAATCCTTATAACAATCTACAATAGAGGATGATTCTATGACTATCTCCTTTTTGGATAAAGGCACTGAAGCGCAGAGGAGTTACGTGTCTGTATCCAAGGACACACAGCTGCCAAGGTCCAGCCCAGGCAGTCTTACTCCAAGGCCCTGCTCTGAACTACTACCCTATTTTGCCCCTTGTAAGCTCCTCAGGGAAGAGTCTGGGATATTCATGTCACTCCTCAGGCTGCCCTTCTCAGACCCAGCAGGTACCTGCTGTGCCTGGGCAGGTCAGAAGGAGGGCAGGCTGTGTTCCTTTCATGGAACGTGTCCCCACTAGGCTGCAGAAACAGTCTAGTGTAGAGGGCACTGGAGGTCCAGCTCGGAGGTATCTGGGGCTGGGAGAGACTCTGGAGTGGCTGAGGGCAGCCCCTCTGTCCTTCCTACGTCCCTGTAGAGAGCCATCACCATCCTGGACACAGAGAAGAGTTTCCTTAAGTGCATGAGGAAGGCCTTCCGCTCAGGCAAGCTGCTGCAGGTGGGGTACACACCTGATGGCAAGGACGACTACAGGTGGTGTTTCAGGTAACACCCAAGCAGGAATCAAGGCTTAGAGAATTCTGAGGCTCTGGGCATGGGGGGCCCACCCAGAGCCAGTTGTGGATGCAGAGGCTGCCTCAGGGCCTCCTGGGGCCAGTCCTGAGCACAGGACACTCTCCCAAGGCCAGCTACAGGTGTAAGGGCTGCCTCAGGGCTCAGCTGTGGGCACAGGGGACCTACATTAGATCTCAGCTGATAGGACTCAGACATGAAATACTGGAAAATTTGGGGTGTCCAAAAGGGGCACCTAGTGAGTGGGGTCAGAACTAGGATTCCAATACTTACAGTTTCCTTGTGTGGTCAGAGAACACATCTTCAGGGTGGTGTCCAAAAAGCAAGACCCGGTCTTTCCTCCCCACCAGCTGAGCCTCCACTGTGCTCCTGGGCTCCTTGGGTTGGGCCCATGGGACTGAGCCCCTGGCCTGGGATGCTGAGCGTGGCTCCCAGCCTGCCCCCTCCCCGCTCCCTGTCCCCTCATCTTACAGAGTGGATGAGGTGAACTGGACCACCTGGAACACAAACGTGGGCATCATTAATGAAGATCCGGGCAACTGCGAGGGTGTCAAGCGCACCCTGAGCTTCTCCCTGCGGCCAGGCAGAGGTGAGGTGTGAGAGGTGGGTGCTGTGGCACAGAGGCTGGTGGCCTGAGGTTGGGCAGGTGGAGCCTGGCGGGTCTTGTACTCCTGATAGGCCTTCCTCATGCCCCTACCCCTACCTAAGGACCTGGGCTCCATAACAGCCCCTGTGGCGGCCACACTCACACACTCGGTCATGGGCACACACATGTACCTCATACATGCCGGCGTGGCTGACTGCTCAGTGAACCAGGGCAAACCAGCTGTGCCAGCAGCTGGCCCAGGCTCCTGTCCTCAGTGCCCCAGGGGAGCAGCTTAGCCCACATCCAGCCTCTTGGGGTGGCCAGCACACGCAGGTGCCCTGCCTCCTTGGCCTGTTCCCCACACCCCACGTGTGCACTGTGGCTCTGTGAGGCTGCATGGAGGCCAATAGGCATGTGGGAACACTCACCTCTCACCAACCTGTCCAGGCAGGCAGGGAGGAGGGGAGGGTAGGAAGAGCAAAGGTGACAGTAAAAGGTGACTTGAGCAGTAAAACCCTGAAGAAAATGACTATCAGATAGAAAGCCATTTAACAGTCAATGGTAAACACTTAACAATGAGCATTGGATTAAAGGTCTAAGCGAGAACATTTACTTAAGAATGAAGTAAACATAATTTATAATGAACAGATTTTGAATCATAATTACAGCTGTACACTAACTCTAGCTTTTAGAAATATTGTGGTAAAATATGTATCACATGAACGTCGTCATTTAATCATTTTAAAGGGTACCATTCAACGTCATTAAGTACATCGACATTGTTGTGCAACCATCACCACTGTTTCCAGAACTTTCTCATCATCCTGAACTGAAACTCTGTACACATTAAGCAATAATTCTCCATTCCCTCTTCCCCTCAGCCTCTGAGAGCTTCTCTGTTGCTTTCTGTCTCTGTAAATTTGTCTATTCCAGGTGCCTCCCATTGGTGGACTTGTGCAATATTTCTCCTTTTGTGTCAGACTGAGTGATATTCTATTGTATGGATTTTGTTTATCCAGTTGTCATCTGCTGATTGACATTTAGGTTGTTTTTACCTTTTGGGCCATTGTGAACAATGTTATGACCACTGGTATATAAGATACTGTCTGATTCCCTGCAGTCAGAGATTTTGGGTCTATGTCTAGGAGTTGAATTGCTGGATCATATGATAATTCTATGTTTAACTTTTTGAGGAATTGTCAAACTGTTTCCCAAAGCGGCTGCATTATTTTATATTCCCGTCAGCAATGCACGAGGGTTCTAATTTTTCCATGTCCTTGCCAACACTTGTCATTGTCTTTTTTCATTCTTTCTTTATTTTTAATTAAAGACAGCCTAGTGGGTGTGAAGTGGTACTGTATCTCGTGATAGTTTTGATTTGCATTTTCCCAGTGACCAAGTGATATTGAGCATCTTATCATGTGCTTATTTGCCATTTGTAGATATTCTTTGGATAATTATTTATTCAGGACTTTTTGTCCATTTTTATTCTTTTTCTTGCAACTTTCTTCCTAATGTGAACCTTTGCCCATTTTTAAATTCGGTGGTTTGTTTTTTTGTAGCTGAGTTGTAGGAGTTCTTTATATATTCTGGATATCAATCCTTTATCAGATATATAATTTGTAGTATTTTCTTCCATTCTGTGGGTTATTCTTTCGCTCTTTTGAAAGAGCTCTATGGTGTACAAAAGTTTTTAATATTTGTCAAGTCCAATTTACCTAAATTTTTCTTTTGTTGCCTGTTATTTTGGTTTCATATCCAAAAAGTCACTGCCAAATGCAGTGTCATGAAGATTTTACTCTATTTTTTCCCTAGGAGTTCTGTAGCTTTAGCTCCCTACCATTGTAAAGTTGCTTTGTTCTCAGTGTGGCGTTTGCTTGGTTACTGCAAACCTTAAACTGTTTCTCAGAGCTCTGACAACATTGGGCATGAAGTTTCTGCTTTTTTTTTTGATATTTTTTGTGTAGAGATGGGTGTTTGGAGCTGTTTACTTTGCATTTAGCTGATGCCACTCTTGAACTAATTCTTAAAACGAACAAAGAATGAATCAAGAGATAGTGGTTTTTACATTTTTTGGCAGGGTGGGGGAAGGGTCATAATTTTTCAGACCAACTAGTCTGATATTATGATACCATATCTTTCATATTTAATATTGCTTCATAGAAAAGCTCATTTCATATTTCATAAACTTAAAATTTGAGATATAACTTACATATAAAATGAACACATTTTAAATGTACAGTTTTATAAATTTTAACAAATGTACACGCTCAGGCAACCACCACCCCACTCAAAATATAGAACATTGCCATCATGCCAGAAAATGCCTTGTGTCCCTTTGTAGTCAACTTGACCCTCCCCATCCCAAGTAACAATTGTCTTATTTTTTCCTTTCTCTTAAAAAAAGTGGATTTATATGAGAGTACATATGAGTAGGTTACATTGTTTGAGTTTGCAAGGTAAAGTTTGAATGTCAGTTGAGTCCTTCACTCAATATTTGTCTAATTTCTATCACTATAGATTTGTTTTATATAAGCTTTTGTTTACTTGAAAGAACCTATTTTGTCCTCATATTTGTTTCATTGGATATAGTATTTTGGGTTAGCAGTTTTTTTTTTTTTAATTTCAACATTTTCTTTTCTTTTCTTTCTTTCTTTTTTTTTTTTGAGAAGAGCTGTGGTGTCATAGCTCACAGCAACTTCAAACTCCTGGGCTCAAGTGATCCTCCTTCCTCAGCCTTCTAAGTAGCTGGGACTATAGGTGCCCACTGCGCTTGGGGCTAGTTTTTCTATTTTTAGTAGAGACAGGGTCTCACTCTTGCTCAGGCTGGTCTAGAATCTCTGAGCTCAAGTGATCCTTCCACCTTGGCCTCTCAGAATTTTAGGATTACAGGCGTGAGCCACTGCATGCCCAGCCAGTTTCAACACTTCTGTTTCTCCATTGTCTCCTGGCCTCTGTTGTTTCAGATGAGAAGTCATCATTATTTGCATTGTTGTTCTCCTGTCCATGTATCCTTTTTTCTTCTGGCTGTTTTTGAATTATTCTGTTTCCCTGGTTTTCAGCAGTTTGACTAAAGTATGTTTAGGTATGATTTTCTCTGGGGTTTGCTGAAATTCTTGGATTTAGACATTGATATGTTGAATTAAGTTTAGAAAACTACATATCCATTGCTTCATTCTCCCTAGTTTCTCCTTTTGGACTCCATGTATGTTAGACCATTTGATATTGTCCCATAGTTCTCTGAGGCTTTGTTCATTTTTCCTCAGTTTTTTTTTCTGTCTTTCTCAAATATGATAATTTCTTTTGGTCTGTTTTTAGGTTCACTGACCCTTTTCTTACCCATTTCCAAATTGCTGTTAAGCCTGTCTACTAAATTTTACACTTTAGATTTTGTGCTTTTTGATTTTAGAATTTCTGTTTGGTTCTTTTCTATATTTTCCATTTCTCTGCTGAGATTCCCTGCTGCTCCCACATTAAGACATTTTCTTTTAGCTCTTTGAACATATATATTAATAGCTGTTTTAAATTTTCTGTTAATCCAGCATCTGGGCCATCTTGGGGTCAGTATCTGTTGATTGCTGTTTTTTCTGACTATGGCTCACATTTTCCTGTTTCTTTGAGTATTTACTACTTTAAAATTGTATTTAGCATTTTATAATTATATACTAAGGATTGTAGATAATAAACTCCAGAGATTCTGTTGCCTTCCTTTAAAGAATATTAAATTTTTATTCAGTTGGCAGTTCAGTTACTGATGAAATCACCTTGAATTTGTGTAGGCTCAGTTTTAAACTTTGTTATGGCAGACCTGTGACACCCTAAGGCATTTTCCAAGCCCATGGAACTTGTGGGACACAATTTCCAAACTCTTGCCTGGGATTGGTTTTGATTTTGTTGGGGTGTGTCTTATGCCTTATCCTAAGGCATGATCCTTACTCTGGGGTGTGGTGCTCACTCCTAAGTGAGGTCTTTGTGGTATTGATCCCCAGGGTATTCAGGTCTCTCGACTCTGGCTGGGCTGGACCTCTGATATCCACCAGTGCTGCTCAACTTTTAATATTTCTGTTCTACTTTCAACCCTATAGCACTTTTTTTTTTTGAGACAAAGTCTCACTATGTCACCCTTGGTAGAGTGCTGTGGAATCACAACTCACAGCAGCCTCTAATTCTTGGGCTTAAGCGATCCTCTTACCTCAACCTCCCCAGTAGCTGGGACTACAGGCACCTGCCACAATGCCTGGTTATTTTTTTTGTAGTTGCAGTTGTCATTGTTTTTAGCAGGCCTGGGCTGGGTTCCAACCTGTCAGCCTCAGTGTATGTGGCTGGCGCTCTAACCAGTGAGATACGGGCACTGAGCCCCCATAGCACTTTCTAATAGTCCTCACACAGTCTCACCATGAACAAGCACAGCCCAGCCAACGATTTGTGGGGAACCCGTTTCCCCCAAAGATATGTGGGTTTCTATTCTCGTAATTCTTTCTTCCTCTTCTCCTGTGGTCTGACCCATGCATTCTAGCTGCCCCCTAACTCTGATTTCTTCTCATTTCAAAGACAATTCCATGCTTTGCTCAGACTGCAGCTCGCTGTTCTATAATTGGGGAAATTGTCCTTAAACTGAAAGTTAGGGTGCTGATAGGGCCAACCTTGTGAATTTCACTTCTCTCAGGGATTGCCATATTTCGCTGCCTGTTGTCTTTGCCTAAAATCATTTGCTGTATTTTGCTTAGCTTTATGGTTGCGAACAGCAAGATGACTGGCCTGGTACTAGAGTACTTGATACTCCATTTTAGTTGGAAGTAAAAATTTGTTTTTCTCAAAGTCTCATATTTTGGAAACTGCTCAAAGTATTCATCAGTTTTCCACAGGCCTCCAGCACTTCTGTGATTTTCCTGACTCTAATTAGAAGCACTCCCTGTGTCACATCACGACACAGCTTATCTCTTCTTCAATTGTTAACTGGTTTAACTTTGCTAGATAAAGCCATTTGAAGATGGCTTTGCGTGCGATTTAAGCAGTTTTCTAATGTCAATCTTACAGATTTCATGAAATCCCACATCTTTTGCAAGATTTTGTCTCACTTTGCAGTTGATTGCTAGAGTGTTTGTGTGATGGCGTTGGCAGTTTACAAACATTGCATAGTCACTGTGATATTGATAGAGACATTGAGCCAGTGACAGGAATACACCCATCTGTGCTAACTGGGGCAGGGGTGGAGGACAGTTGGAGGTTGCCTGGTTTCACCTTTATAATTAATTGATGAATATTTCCTAAGGATTTTGCTTTCCTACTCAACTTTGTAACAGTAGAAACTCCAGTAATGAATAGTCAGATAATTCTCCTCTCCCCACCAAACACAGTGTACGTGATTGGAAAGAGGTAAGGGAATGCATTAGAGAAAGGCTAGGGCAGAAAAGTGGTCAGCGGAGGTCAGATGTGGAGGGGTCTGGGCATCAGAACTGTGGGAAGTGGGCACTGATGTCCTGTACCTACTTTAAGGGCCAAGTCATCCCTGTGGCTGGATGTCTCCACCCTGGCCAGCCATTAGATGGTGTCCCAGTGGGGAACTGGCCTGTATCTACCTGGAGCTCTCCTGCTTCTATGTTTGAGTTCACAGAGGGCTGTCCTTCACTAACTGGTACTTGGTGTCAGACTGGGGCTGGGGGACAACCTGCAGGCCTCAGGAAAACACCAGGACCCAGATGACTCAGCTGGAGTGGTCAGGATGGGACCAGCCTCTGGCATTCCTGGTGCCTGTGAAATGTGGCCAGTGTTGGCCATGAGCAGGGGGGCCTGGGGCTAGAAGGCATGAGTTGAGGCTAGTTTTGCAGAGAGATCTGAGGTGGCCAACCAGAGGGCTTGGCTGACCAGAGCTCTGGCAAGTGGGGGGAGAGCACACACAGCTTTCCCTGTTAGCTGCCATTTCTTGGAGGTGGCCAGAGGCTGGAGGTGACTCTGGGGAGGACACCTGCGTCCTCCTCAAGAGCTTCCTGGGATTTCAGACCACTCTTGAGGTCTCCATTTGAGGGAGACCCTTGGCATTGTTCCCAGTAGGCTATGTGCTTGTGGGGCCTGGACCCCAAATCTGATCCTTTGCCTGGTGTCAGCCACTCATGGGGCAAACCCCAGTGTTGCTCTGTGGAGACTTCTTCTCCCTCCCACTTGGGCTGGGAGGAAATGGAAACCAAGAGAGGCAGGTGAAGGACTCTTTTGAGATCACAACCAAGTATGAGTGGGGTGGAGGAAAAGAATTTAAGGAGCCACCAGGGTGGATACGGCTCCATGAACAGCTGAGGAGAGAGGAAATCATACTGATCCAGGTACCTCAGGGAGCCTTGCAGGCCAGGGCCTCCTTTTATCTGGAGACTTGTGAGGCCAACAAGTAAATGTTTGTTTATTTTGCTGAAGGTAGTAATGATGTTTTACCCTTCAGCTTCAGGGAGAAACTGGAAGAACTTTGCGCTGGTTCCCCTTTTAAGAGATGCCAGTACCCGAGATAGAAACCCTGCTCACCCTGAGGAAGTGCATCTGAGACAATTTTCAGGGTCCCTTAAGCCAGAGGATGCTGAGGTCTTCAAGAATCCCACAGCTTCTGGGGAGAAGTGAAGGCCTGCACACAGGGCACTCTCAACACTGGGCCCTGGAAGACCTAACTGCTATGGGGGCAGTTAGGCAGCACCTGTGTTCTATCAGCTACCAGCCTGCTCTGAGCCTGCCCAGATGGGACAAGCTGTGGGAAGGAAGCATCATCAGATGCATGGGAAGAGATGTATCTCCAGCCATCACTGTCCCCACCTGAATCTCCTAACAGGAAGTGATCTGGCTTTTGAGTTTTTACTTGCTTTATTAAATGGCATGAATGGTGTATCTCTATTAGGACACACAAGTTAGGCTCTTATTTTCTTTGATTTCCTATTACTGGGCGCAAAAGTAAATGAATCCCAGGAAAACAACTTTGAGAACAAAACACTCCCTGTGATATAAAATGCTAAAGCCCTTCTTCTTCCCTGTGTTGCAATTACTATCCCACCTGCCCAGAGTGGTCTGGGGTGGGTTGTGTGTGTGTGATGCCATTTACTCCCCAGACGAGGTGGGAGAGGCTGGTCCATTCCCAGCTCCGGCAGAGCCAGGTTGTTGCAGGAGTGACTTCATCCTTCTGTGTGATATGTCACTGTCTCCCACATAGTAGCTCTATTGCTGTACAGATAAAAGCACAGAAACATACAGCAAAGCCACATGGTGAGAATTTTTAATAATCTTCCATTTGTAGGGGCTCTAGTCCTGCTCCCCTGCAGTGGCACATGCTTCTACCCCCACTCATCCTGTCATCCATCAAATAAATATAGACATACATATACATGTATCACATCAAGCGTGGGGTTTGTGCTGGTCATTGGGTTGGCAGAGCTCATAGGCTCTGTGTAGTCTGTGCCTGTGTGCATGCACATGTGAGGTGTGTGTGTGCAGGACCCCCTATGGCTAAGAACACACCTGGGTGTGCATGCATATATGGAATTGTGTGTGCATAAACCCCTATGGCTAGGAGCACGCCTATGTGTGCAAGCACCATATGGCTAGGAGTGTGTGTATATGTGAATGTGTGTGTGAATGCATACAGTACCTCATATGGCTGAGAACCTCTGCTCACTCTTTAGTGTTACCCAGGGGTGAGGGCGCACCTTCACATATTCACCTATTATAGTCAGCAAACTGCGATCCATGGGCCCAATCCCACCTGCCACTCACTTTTGTAAATAAACTTTCATTGAGGTCTATGGCTAAAACCTGGACTTTACCTAACAAACATAAACAATGTAACCTTAATTGTTTGTACCCTCATATTAATCTGAAATGAAAATAAATTTTCATTGAAACATAGCTGTGTCTGTTCTTTTATGTATTACCTGTGGCTGCATTTGTATTACAATGAGGTGAGTGGTTGCAGCAGAGACCCAGTTTGTTCCCCAATCCTAAAATATTTACTATCTGGCCCAGAAAAGTTTACTGATCCTGCCTTTATGGATTGGAATGTAAGAAATAGACAACAGAGGTCTGTCCCAGATGTGGGTGGTTCTTCTTGGGGTGTATGGAGTGTGGAATGAGTAAGTGACCAGATTTTAACATTTGTAAAGCGGGACACCATTGACTGGGGGGAGGAGGTTCTTAATTAAAAATTTGGTCTATATGGAGCAACAAAAAATTTTCATAGAATGCAAAAGTAGTATTGTAATATATATATTTTTAAATTTCAACATAAGTACAATTTACAAATATAATACATTAAAAAAATTATGTATAGGGCGGTGCCTGTGGCTCAAAGGAGTAGGGCACCAGCCCCATATGCCAAAGGTGGCCAGTTCAAACCCAGCCCTGGCCAAAAAAAAAAAAA